CTCTTCAAAAAACTTGCATCACGAACTTTTTGGGGCGAAAAAAGTTTGTGTTTTCACTCGCAACTTTTTTTAAGCTGTGTTTCATTTACTACGAACTTAAAGATACAGCGGACGGATGCCCCATCCCACTCAGGTTCGTTATAAGCGGGCTTGATTGTATAATTGCCTAAACTGTGACGCCAGCAAGGTGGCCTAGACTTCCTTACAGCGGATTTTTCTGCCGCGGACATCCCAAATTCAATAACTTCTCCGACTTCAAACATCGTTTGGCATACATTCAAGATGAGAATAGTACCGCGGTTATTGACGTACCAATTTAAGAACAAAGGCTGCCCATCTCTGGTCTATTAATGATTAGTTATGCCTAGCTACAGCATTGAAAAATCCGCACATAGTGTGCTTACTTTGAGTGTTGGAGCGCTGACGCGCAAAATTGCTGGCCGCTGCTGCCGCTGTACCGGGTGGTCTGTGCATGGCGAGCATGGCCGGGGTCTGCTACCGATGCGCAAGATGCCTATTCACGGTTCTAAAGAGCTAGCAGCGGATGTGATTCGTTGCTTGCTACGAACCACATTACAGCTTCTTCACTTTCACATACCTGCTTGCGTGACAGTCTTGTCCACCAAAATAGGGGGCCCAGTGAGGCTTGGCCACGACTTCGAGCAGAAACGCAGCTGTGATGTGCATTGCCATGGTGCCCGATGTTCGAAGTACGACATGCTCGATCGCAAGTACAAAGATTTGTTCTGCTGTGGTCTTCTTTGCAAGGCCCAAAACGCTAATGATCAGAACCTTCCCACCAATGAGTAAACGCAATGACAATCAGTTCAAAACGCGCATGTGCGATGTTCATGATGAGTACCGCGCACGATCGTATTCTGAAGAATGAGCTTTTGCTTGCAGCTGCCTTAAGGGGGGACGCGGGTCTTAGAAAAGTAAGAAATGGCCAAAAAATCGATTTTGAGAAAAACGCATTTTTCGAATCTTTGAACCTATAAGCACCTCTCCTCAAATTATTAACGCTAAATTCGATAAAAAAATAGGTTAAAATCTATTTTCAAACCATCACGGGAGTCGCAAAACAACCCGCAAAACAGAAAATTTGTTCGAACTTCCCGCGCGCGCCGCCAGCGAAGCAGCCGGCGGATCGGCGCCATCTTGGGCTTGTTTTGAAGCTGGTTCCTTTGTGCGCGTTTTGCGGGCTCTCAAAATGGCATAGCTCCAACACAACGACTGCCCTCCCCCGTTTTGCGAAGCCGTCTGCCGGACCGCTGATTGGCTAGAACGAGCGTGCGCCGGCGAGCCCCCCCGTCTCGCGCTTACCATTGGCTGGTGCGGCGGCGCGGCCACGGTTGCTCGCTCTTTTTTTTTTTGTTTGGTTTTGCTCTGTCGGCGCCTGCTCTCGTGCGTGTTATCTCGTCTGCTACCCGCTTGTGTACCAACGTCGCCGACGTATACGTCTTTCTGCATTTCGCCGGCATGGCTTGGGAAGCTCGCCTGAAGAAGAACACTCGTCAAGCTTTCGGCAGGAAACGAAAGCGAGCGTGGAATGCGCGGCAGAAGGGAGCGGCCTGCGCGCCGCCGAGAACGCCGGAGATGGCCGAGGCAGCGCATTCTGACGACAACGGGCTGTCGGAAATGCCTGTTATTGCGGAGGCAGCACATTCAGACGACGACTCGCTGGCGCAAGTGCCTGTTATTGCCAGAATCCTAGTGAGAGCTTACACGCTACAATTTGGCAACAAGTCCCCAAGACCACCCATGCCTCACTGCGCAGCGTAGAAAGAGCAGTGGCTGAAGCCATCAGCCGCTTTAATCAGGGGGCCACGAAGAGCAATGAAGCAATTGCTGAGAAGCTAGGCTACAGTGCAGGAAATCTCTTCATGCGTCGTAGCCTTGAAAAGGATAAAACCAGGCTTCACAAATCGCGGAGGGAGCACCTGCAGAGCAGTTCAACAAAGGCAACACTTGCAAAGCGACATAAGCCTGCAAGAGACACTGCATACAGCCCTGGCATGTTGTAGAATTGTAAGGCTGTCTGGGACAAAAATGTGTGTTTTACTTGAAATAGTGTTTTATGTATAAAAGGGCGATGTTTTTATATATAACATGTGTCTTCCTTTGGTTTTCAGTGCACTAGAACAGCCACAAAGTTGTAGACTGGGTTCCTTATACTGATTCATTGGCCAGTACACAGTTTTTAAGTGAGCTGTGGCAAATATTTTGGGAAGGTGCATTGACACATTTGGTACAGCCATACTCACATAATGTAGAGCTATACAACGGTGCCATTTTTATTGCTCTAGCTTCACTTTAGCAAAAGTTACAGTTATTAGAAACTTTAAATGCGTTTTTCTCAGTTCGATGTTTTTGTGCACCACACTAAACCTTAGGGGTTTTTCTTACATGTTACTGTTGATTGAGAATGACAAACTTGGTATCATTTTATTTGTAGTAACATTACCTATGGGGTGATGCTATTTTGATTACTTTAGAAGCATACTGTTAATTACAATTATGGATAGTAATGAGCGAAAATTGAACAGAATATCCATTGTAAGTGCTGGTCTGTTTTCTTATCTATATAATGCCTAAAAATTAATAAAAATAGCATCACCCCATACAGAAAGCCCTCAGCATTGGGGCTATGCATTTATTTTTTGGATCTGGCTTGATTAAGTTGCCAAAAAGCCCCCAATGAAGTGCATAATTAATTAAATTACAGGTGTTAATATCTTTTCATCCACTGAAGCTATTTCAGAAACAATTACATATTTGAAATCAGCATGAAAAACTGTCCAAGATGGTGAGGTTTGGTCAAGATTGAGCCAAAAACAGAAAAAAAATTTTAAAGACCCATGTCCCCCCTTAACAGCCCGTGAACACAGAACAAGTGCGAAAATGTCACTACGTAGTGCCATTTCAAACAGCTGCAACCTCGCGACACAGAATAAGCTGACGACGCTCTACTGGAGAGACATCTGGAACTAGCATCGGACTGGCGAGGTGTGCCGAAGCAACACGGCAGAAGCAGCCAATAGAGGCCTCGAAATAAATTTCAAACATCTGTCTTTTTAACATGAAATTCCTTTTACCAAATACTTTTATGACAAGCCCAAAATGGTGGTGGGCAATTGTGCCATCGCAAAACTACAAATTTTTCAAAAACGCTTTATTTTTTTTTACTTCCACGACAATTTTCGCCACCTTAGCAGGCGCAAAAAACCTTTTAGAGCCCTTTTACGTAGTTTTCAGTCAAAGTAATTTATAATCTTAGGAAAAGGGCTACAGAAACTGAAGATATGATTTTCAAAAAATGAATTTTTTCATGTTCCATTGAGAGTATGTTTGTAGATGACTAGTGACTCTCTCCGGGTATAACAGTATGATAGACCCATTCATTGCTTTAATAAAAGTCTGTTATAACAGCACTTGACTTGGATTTTACATATTCCTTTTAAAACAGACCAAAATCCTCTTCGCTATGGAGGTCTATTGTAATGAGGTTATACTGTACCTGAAAACTGTAACGCCTCTCTGCAGTTTTGTTACTGCCAATCGCAGGCGATTAACTGTTCAATTTGTGAACACGTAATCACTGAAATCGTGTTGCTCACGATAGGACATTTTTACTGCAAGTATCAGCCCGCGATAACTCACACCCTGCTTAACTGCTTCATCTCGTATGTATCTGCTCGGTAATGACTGACTGACACTGACTTCATCATTCCTTCCGCATTCCATGCATAGAAATACATGCAGATGCATTCAGACATGTGCAGTAGTATTTAGGATTTAATAATAGTCGACAAGCAATGATATTTTTTTTCATTTGGCGCTCCTACGGCAGCAACGAACAGCAGGCGACAGAATAGCTGGCACGCTCGACGTACACACTTTTCCCATAGTGCTTCGAGTGCCTGTGTGGCGTTCTGAGATTGCTTAAAATAGTCTATTCCGGAATTTCACGAATACGTATCCGCCCAAAATTCATACAAGCCGGGTTTGTATCGCAAAGATTCTCTTGTATATGTGAGTACAGAGAAAGCCATGCTGAACCTGTGCTGTATTGTTACAATATGTCAGCCAAGCCACAGGCACAAAAAGCCATGCTGAACTTGCACAGGAGCCCAAGTGCTGATACCAGTCCTGAACAAGTAAGTGCCTGGGCTCAACAGCCACACCCATAACATGGCACATTTTGCAGCTCTCAACCAAATCCCAAATAGCGCAAACCCAGAATGGGAATAAAATATGCTTCTAGAAATAAAAATTGTATGGTCGAACCAGTTTAGACTAACTTTGTGTTACTGTACACCTCCATAAGGGGAGAACATTTGGGGAGTGGAAAATGCAAAATTATGACATGACAAAAACAAGAGAATGTACACCTGTGTCAGAAAAAATTTCAAAATCCATAATTCAAGTAAACACCTTAGCTCTTTTATCAGTTTTTATATTAACATGTCACACTTTTTAAAGGAATATTAAACAAAAATGATTTTTATTAAACTGGTAAATCGCCCTTTCACAATACGAAAAGTGCCCATCTTTTCACAAGAAGATGCTTTCGAAGCTATCTTAACACTCATAAAAAAACACAGGTGGCTGCCCCAACTTGAGGTTCCTGTACAGACATACAGTTATGTCAGATTTTGACTAAGCCTTCCAAGGCTTACATAAGTATTTACCTATAAAAATGAACTACATAATGTTCCAAAGGAGCCAAAAATTAAATGAAGCAAACTTCACAAAATTTCATTGAGCTAATTTCATCAAAATAAAAGAAAAAGGCTTTTAAATCTGTAAAGCCACATCTTTCCAGAGCGAAATATTCAGAGCAAAATTCAAAAGTGAAACACTGACCTTCAGTTTTAATACCAAACCCATGATGGTGAGCTTAGTGAAAATACAATTTCAAAAGAATAATTATTCTGTCTAAACTGATTCCGTGTTTCCCTTTATTGTCCAGTTATATATAACATATTCATGTTCCTCACCTGGTCCACAAGAGAGGCCGGAGCATCATATAAGTTCTTGATTAGGTACTCGAAGATGTGCAGAAGCCTTGCAATGTAGATAATCTGGATGTCTTTTAGTGGGCTGCGATAAAGAAGAAAAAGAGAAAGCATATAAACAAGTATAAAGCTCTTCCCAAAGTAATGCAATATACCTCAGATATTTGCAACTCTTTGAATATGGGTGTGCGAATACTCTAAATTTTGATTATTGAATAGTGTTTGCTATTCAACCAAATTTGCACTGGTATTTTGCTATTCAGACTATTTGAACTTTCTGAAGACAAATACAGTCAATGTCCTATTGAAAGTGATCCTATAAGGTTTTCCAATATGCTTCCCCTGGTCACACTCTCATATTGCGGCAAAGCTGCTTTTCAGGCTCCGCTTCAGTCTTGAATGTAATGTCTCAAGAAAACGCCGATACCAACTAGACCAGTGTGCGGGTACCGAAATTGCCAGCGGCGGCACGCCGGTGTTTCCACCTTGAGCGGAGGCACGTCAACGGTGCGAGGTCCATTTGATCGGCGGTGGCGCGGAGCAGGAACGTGCACTGCAACGATACGACACCAATCCATGCAAGACAGGGCTGCACACGATAGGGTAGTCAGTGGCCAACTATGTTGGCAAATGGTCTGGTCACTCCAGGCCGGCAACCAAAAACCAGCAGCCAAAAACTTAAAGGAGACTAGTTCACCAACCGGTCTTGGAAAGATTGATGGCAGTGTGAAAACACGGGCCTCGCCTGGCGATGCGGGGTGCTCAGCGTAGCGGGGGAGCAGAGGACGGAGGAGGTTCATGAAAAAACGGTCGAGAAGAGCGACTATAGGGCTGCGGAGGCAGGGTCAGCGTTTAACCACAAAAATCGTTGGCCAACTCGCCGATGGCTTATCGGTGGTCGAAAGTGGTTTTCTGAAAAGTCACCGGAGTGCTGTCTCCGTTCGCTGTAACTGACTCTGGTGCTCAGAGATGTTCGTTGCAAGTTCGATTTTGTGCCATTGAAGTAATGTACATTTCTAAGGTCATGCAGGCATTGTTCGTTTTAAGCAAAAGTTTGTTTTGAGTGGGGTTGTTATATATGTGGGCTCGACTGTAATCGAATTACTATGGTGCATGCTGTTCAAGGTTTTATGGGCCTATCGACACCTACTATACTGATCACAAGAGAAAGGAGTTTAACTGCAGTGGCATCAAAGCGACAGAGCAATCAATCTACCATTACACATGTAACTACTGCCTAGTGTAAACCGCACCCCAATGACTGAGATTAATTTGAAATCTTCCAATTAGATTATGCCCCCAACATAAAGATTAGAGCTTACTCTGGAACTTCCACGGCAACGAGCAATAACGATATAACCTTCAATGGCCCATGTGTAAGTGCAGATGCGCTCTATTGCATGGCACATTACATGATGGCTGATATACTGGTCACGCTGCTGTCAGAGTACTTATGCTTTGACATTTTATTTTCTGAAAACAAGAGGTTCGCCCTAATAAAGAGTTACATATTTCGAGTCCTGCTGAAGCCTTCTTGACGAAAGAAAAACAAGCTGGAATACCCAGGGGGCACTTTTAACTCATTTCAACTCATTGTGTCATTTTGGTGGCAATCATGTCATGCAGCAAGTACCAACTGGATCATGAACAAGTTCTTTCGAATCTGCGGCGACTGGGCACGGCACGTTTTCTTGATTTACCGAGCGAGTTTTACCTCCACTCATTGTGCTCACATGTTTCGACCGGATTTGAATCCAGCAAGCTGCCCTTCCCAGACGCTCCAGCTCTGAAAGTAGTAGAGTGTCGGGCCGGGGGACGTCTGTAACTATTTTGTAAAACCGGTGGGTGTCCGGCGGCACGCGGTTCTAACCCACGACTTTCCGCATGCGAACATACTCACACATGCACACATTTACAAAGGGATTTGATGCCCTCGCTACTCCCTTCTCCCCAAAATTATAACCTTAATCCTGCTTCCGTTTTCAAATAGACTTAGGAAAATATTACTTGTAGGTCTGGAATGAATCGCAATTGATATCACATAATTTTTAAGTGAATCTGAAATATAGTAGTAGAATTTGATTAGCAAAATGCAGGTTACATGAGATAAAATATGAAAAGTTTTGAAAACTGTCATATTTAGCTGTATTAGACACTTCAGAAAAAAATTATCAGAGTATAGGTAATATGCACAATTAACATTGAAAAGTAGCTTTGTGGCAGTGCTGCTTTCCCATGGAAAGGCAGCTTCATGGCATAGTAGGGCAATCGCACTATAGCAGGCAATATTACTCACAAACATCACCACACAATACGTATAGCAGGAAAATGTAGAAGTGGCATGATTACATGCTACATCAGTTCGAAAACAAATTGTGAAAACTAAAAGGTGGCAAAAATTCCATACCTCTGGGACACTGGGGCCACATTAATAATAGTCTTGGCAACACTCAGTAGCACAACTTTCTTCTGCATTAGCTGAAGGTTGTGAAACAAAAAAAGCAGTAGCTGGGTGTGCTCCACATTCATGTCTGAAAAGATAACCATGCACAGATATAGTCAAATACAGAAAACTATTTTAATACACATTTTATGGGGCAATTTCTATTGCAAAATTGAATATACCATAGCAGTGAGCACGAAATACGCTGTTACCTAGTAAAATCACTTCGGTAACATTAATGAGAGAACTCCGTAATGTGCATAAGACTTCTAGATGGGGACACTGATGACGACGTCGCTGTTTCTCAATGCATCGATGCAGATATTGTAGCTGACGTTGCCCGTGCCGCGGAAGTGGACCCATGTGGTTATAGAAATGCCAACATCGCCGCTAAACAGCATTTTACCGCGCTACAAAGCTTGCAGCGGTGTTCCCCGTCAATCACCGCTGTTCTGGCTGAAGGGGCTGAATTTGGTTATTTTGAAAGCTTCAAATGCTCGATTAATGAGGATGACTTGATGAACAGGAGGAAGAGGAAGCTGCCGCGAAGCGTTGCTCTCCGCATGGAGACGCTCCTTCTTTCTCGTCATGTGCTGGCCATGCTCCCGCTGCGGCGCAGAAGATAGCAGTGGAGACGCAGTCGTAGCCGTCGTCTTTAGAGAGTGTTGACACACGCGCTGCGGCGCCGTGCTCCCTACCGGGCTGCGGAAATTAGGCGCCTTCTTCCTCTTAACTACTACCACCACCTATGTTGCCGTGCGCAACTTCTCTTGCCAGGAGAATGCTAAAGCCAAAGTAGAAATGCTTGCAAACTGCGTGCGAAATTGATTGACTCGCTGCAAGGCAAACGTGTACAGATGTGCGTGCATCACCAATTACTTCAGTTAATGACGGATGTCCTGTGATTTTTGAATAAATCTAAGTCTTCTGAAACTTCCTCCTTGTGTGCTAGCTCAATGCACCTGCACCACTGCATGGTGAACCCTCCGTTCATTTAGCTTTCATGATTTTGAACTTCTTTCAATTCGAACAAATTTTCGGATGCTCGCTGCCGCTCTTTTTGACAGCGTCGTAAGCATGGTTACAATGAACCAAATGCTACGAACCAGAAGCAGACGCTCCCACGGTGAAACTATGCAAAACACACATAAGCTTTTGGCGGGTTCTCTTCTCGGTTTGCTTGCAAGACACATTCTACGGCAACGCCGGCACTCACCGCCTGTCGCATTTTTGCCTCACTAAAAACATGGCATGCGTTTCCACCTTTAGTTGCTGGCGTACCATTGCCTCGCTCGCAGGCTAAGCGTTGTGTTCTTTGTTCTGAAAATACATCATTTAGAAACAGTAATGAATTTTTTCTGAGAAAGTGTAAAAAGAGTTTTCGCTGTCTTTAGCATTCACTCATATAGCCTAGCTACCACCATATGAATATTGCATATAACCAGCATATATCACTAGGCGGCCTTGCTTGCATTACTGTTAAAGCATGCCATGAAGCAAAGCCAACTTGATTGATTGATATGTGGGGCTTAACGTCCCAAAACCACCATATGATTATGAGAGACACCATAGTGGAGGGCTCCGGAAATTTCGACCACCTGGGGTTCTTTAACGTGCACCTAAATCCGAGTACACGTGCCTACAACATTTCAGCCTTCATCGGAAATGCAGCCGCCGCAGCCGGGATTCGATCCCACGATTGAAGCGAAGCCAACTTGAGCGCCGATATTCTTTCATAAGCTACACACAGAGTTTGGCTCCAAATTATCTGTATATTTTGTGCATGTTATTTGCAATAAAATGTGTCCACAAGGTGTGTGACCAGATACCTCAGAGCTAGCAACAGTTCAATGCATGCACTTGCTGGGACCAAAGGACAAGTCATAATGATCAGGTATTACCGAATTTTACGGTCTATAGATGAAATTTCACTACAACAAAATATGTGACCACAATTTTTTTTTTATCTCATCAATTGTTGTAGCGGGGTTTGACTGTACACATGTAGCATGACGTAGTCTTGAAGCAAGATCAAGAATACACACACATGAAGTTCTGGTCAAAAAAGAGCTGCGCGAGCATCAGCAAATTGCTACCGGTCTCTGAACTAAAATGACAAACCCTGAGACATCTGATAACTGGTAGGTAGCTCAGAGCAAACACCTGCATATTGTTGCCGGTCTCCGAATTAGAGGGGCAACCGCACTCTACCTGTTGGCGGCTCAATGAAAAAGCGATGCTTTGCTTTCTTATCGGTTTATTACCATCATGTCAAGGTATGACGCGATGTGCTGACTACTTGTTTGGTTTGGTACGGTTCAATTACCAACAAGCCGAATCCATGCAAAACCATCTCAATTCCAGCTACACATGAAGCTGTATTGGCTTCAAATTTGTGTTGCTTTAACGTGTACCTAAATATAGGTACAAGGGCCTCTAGCATTTCGCCTCCATAGAAATGCAGCCTCCAGAGCCATGATTTGGTTTCGCAATGTACCTTTGGATCGGAATCCTAGACAGTTTAAGCTATAGGTCAGTGCATAATCATACAGCAAGGCATTCAATAACTATGCAGGGTTCGTATAGGTTTTCAAAGTGAAAATTCAAGAATATTCAAGAACTTTCCAGGATTTGTTGCAAGTTTTTCAAGGACTCAAAGAGGCATGCTAACCTGTAATTCTTCACTCTAATATTTCAAAAATGACCGTGCACTAACAATATATGGATATCGCAATTATAAAAAAAAAAAGAGCGTAGTCTTAACTTCTGGCACCCTCTCCATAGAGAGAGGGCATGATGTCATGTCGGAAAGTTATGCGCTGATGGGCTTCAAAGCGCATGTGTAGTCGGGCCTTAAAGGTGTCGTGCCACAATATTTGTGGCTAGCATGTTCTTTAGTGCAAGTTTTATTTATAGCTCCAATAATCACGGTACATGCACCAAGATTCATTCATTCTCGCTATAGAATTTATCACCTTTTTCATATTGACAACATTAAGTTCCTCTTTGTGGGGACCGAGTTGTGCAGGTACATAGCAGTGTAGCTAACTTAGTCACGGGATCACAAAGCTTTGCACGCATCATGCTGAGTGTTGTCAGCTTTCGCACACATTTGCCACACAAGCACCTGCAAAACAAACTTGCCTCTACCTGCAGCAGCCGCGATGGTTTGCCGGTATGTACAGGGCAGAAGTTCGGAGGTCACTCAGCTGACTACAGATCTGGTGTGACGTCACTAGAACTTTTGTTGCCCTTCCTGTAGAGCTACGTCAGTGTTGGACGTGCTCGCGATGAGCCTCGATTAGGAGAATGAGCATTTAGTTACACTTGGGAAGTGACTTAAAATATATTCTTAAACCCACAAGGTGCTCGCTGTAGCCTTGAAATTTGATGGCACCACCCTATTATAAGGGCCGACTTGTGCACAGTTGACACTGGCAGCACATTGCTCAACAACCAAGAAGTAACAACTGCGACAGTGGTTAATTTACACTCATCCTGTGGATACATGTGTGTTCTTTTCTAGCACAGTTCTTGGTTTGTTTAAGCAGCACGCTTCCAGTGTCGAGCTGTGACAGTCGTTTATCAGCATTCGTCCTGTGCGCTTTCTTTCCGTAATCCTTCGTGCTTGAGTGGCACGTTGCATGTATGAGGTTGCTTGCCCTTCTTCGTGTGACATTCTAATTTTTTGCTATCACATTCACTGCTTCACCCTCACCACAAACTAACTTTTCTTGGGATCATGTGCACCCACGCCGCATTACTGCATCAGAAATGGGGAGTTTGACAGGTTCACACACCGATGAACCACATTTGGGAGGTCGCAATGTCGATATGAGAGTGTACTGCTCAGGCAATTCAAAGATTTTCAAGGATGGCAAAAAATTCCAGGACTTTCAAGGGCCTTGAAAGTGCATTTTTCAAATTCAAGGGTTTTCATGGATTTCAAGAACCTGTACGAACCCTGCTATGAATATATATATCCGGACAATCACTTACCTGTTCTCAATATTGCATGAGACTAAACAGGATGCACCAATGGTAACAATGTTTCCAGTAATATTATAAGGTAGCATGCTTATGAATGTTCTACGAATCACAAAATACTATTATATTACACCTGAAAGTGAGGGTTCAAGAACAGAGTGCCCCCTCCCCACCTTCTTTTCTGTGACTGGTACAAAAAGCCTGGTAGTTTCTTGCAATTCTCATATTTCAGGCTTCAGATTATCTTTGACTTCTTGGTAGCCCACTTAAATTATTTCTTGGTGAGCAACTGTCATGTATAATGTAATCTCGTTGATATGATTCTGCAGAATACACTTTTATTTCATACCCGGTCAATGTACTTTAAAAGTAATGAATCTACATTCATCTAATCGATCACGCTTTTGCCCAAACTAGGATAATATGACCACGAAAGTAGGCCTTAATCAATATATCGAGAAATACATTTATTTTTCAGTATTCCAGATCAAAGTAGGTTCCTATAAGCTGCGATCAGCACATTGCAGAGTGGCTCAGGCTGCAGCAGCTTTGCAGCCAAGAGGTCGCTGCCAGGCATGGCCACTCTGTCCAATGATAAAAACAAAAAAGTGCAGTGCAAATCGACCAGCTACTTCGATGTTGCTCATTAAAAGTGAGTAGGAGTATTCATATTTTCCTCCTTTTTTAACCTCTATGTTCAATAATAGTAAGCTTTATTTACCGATTCTCACAAAAAACATAACGAGATTCCACTGTACTTGGAATACACCAGCTTATCACATGAAAATAAGGAAGTCTAACAATGAAATACTGCAATAATTTCTATATGAACTCGTTTGGTGATCCTTTCATTTGTAGCATAGGTGCTGACAAATTGAACCCCCTCCTGCTCTGAACTTTTTATTCAGGATTCTAGGATTCTAACTTTTCATCAGCTGTTTCCAACGCTTTCTGTTAAATGACAAAACTGTAAAAATGCATATGTACATCTGATAACAGTACTTGGAATAAAATTGTTTTTCTTATGTGTTTACGGTCCCATACAGCAAACTTTACAGGGAATACAGAAAAAACAAGAATATTAGGTGCCCTATATACAGTGTGTTACCCACATGGGAAATGTAATGAGGGGGTAAAAGAAAATCATGTAGACTAGTCCCAACATATATGTACTGTGCAGCGTGTCTACAGTCAATCTGTCAATATCATCGCCTTCAAGAACTGTAGGAAGGCTAAGAGCCAAAGCCTTAAAGAACTTTAAAATTAATGAAGATTAAGTGTAGAAAACCACGTGCCTTCGCTGTCGTCACCATGTGATGAAAGGATGGCTTTCTGCATGGTGTTGAGCACGAGCCGAAAAATGAGTATGCAAGCTGTGTCATTCTCGCTCCTCAGGTCATCTTTGTCTTTCTGCTGTCTCAGCAAAAGCACCTGCGGGCATGGAGAGACAATAATACGCACTGTCAAAGTTTAAAAAATTCAAAAAACACACCATTGCCAGAATCTACTTTCAGACCGTTAAAGCTGTGAAACTCTCCGGAGGTAGCGCCATTCAATATATAAATTTGATTTTAATGTCAGTCCTTATGTAAATATCTTTAGAAAAAAATTTTCAGGCTAATGATATGACACGGTAACTGGAGCTGCAGCGTTATCCCTCAGCCACGGCGGCTCTGTCCTACCTCTGCGGATACATCATCATGCAGTTAAACATATGTAGTCTACTTAGATATCTGAACTGAGTAGGCTTCCTCCGTATCTCTTTCCAACATTTCTTTTCCCTGTTACTCTCCAAATGAATGCCCACAAATGAAGCTTACATGTGGCACTCACCCTTCACATACTTCGAGCGAAAGACGAACGCAGCACAGTACAGGGGTCAGTACACTTGTAGTAAAAAAAAAAATATTTCTCTGTCCTACCTCTGGCTCTGTCCTACCTCTGCGGGTACATCATCATACAGTTAAACATATGTAGTCTACTTAGATATCTGAACTGAGTATGCTTCCTCCGTATCTCTTTCCAACATTTCTCTTCCCTGTTACTCTCCAAATGAATGCCCACAAATGAAGCTTACATGTGGCACTCACCCTTTACATACTTCGAGCGAAAGACGAACGCAGCACAGTACAGGGGTCAGTAAACTTGTAGTAAAAAAAAAATATTTCTGCACTAATTATGTTAGAACAACTGAACATCAAATATACTGCTTCATTACTAAACTATACATTTGCGTTGCATTCTTGAGCCCCCTCACCGCTGTGCAGCTTACAAGAGAGAATTAGAGAAAAGAGGAAGGCAGAAGAAAGGTAACCAGATGATAAGATCCGGTATGCTACCCGGCACTGCGGTTGGCGAATAGGAGGTTAAAAGAGAGCAAAAGATAAATAACAAAACACACACACAATCTTCAACGAAGGAAGAGTGCTTGACTGGCATGGTTGGTACATTGCAGAAACAAATAAAACAACCCTTAAAATGGGACAAGAAGAAGACACAGTCATGGCACTGACTAACAACCAAGATTTATTGCAAAACAACTGAAATATATCCAATATCCCCCTTCCTTATACTATATATCCGAGTTCCTATATATTGCAGTTGTTTTGCAATAAACCTTGTTTGTTAGTAACTACTGTGTATGTGTCCTCTCATCTCGTTTTAAAGGGCCACTCACCAGGCCCCATATCGAATTTTAGTTAGACGATGGAAGTTGTTGGGTGCCTGGCCACAAGAATTTTGCCACAAGAATTTTTTTGAATCACTTCATTACGCTGAGACTGTTTTTTTTTTTTTTTTGAAGCGGCGCGAAATGAGGATGAGAGGAGGCGAGCTCAAAACCCTTGTCGCTCCTCCACATAGCCTTCGCAAGCCAAATCTCTTCTCTACCCTCTTCGGCATCCGATGAAGAGGTCACATGCGCATGACGTTTCGAACAAGCCCAACTCCAGTGCACACAAGAGGCATTTATTTATTTATTTATTTTGACGAGCGTTGTTTTGAAGTCTACTGCCTGTTTCTGTGGGATGGTTTGGAAACGCTGGCTTAGATGCGGTAGAATAGATGAGCACAATGAGTGAGCGAGCGCCTAGGAGCGTTCCACGGCTGTCTGCTCAATGCGCCGACTGTGGGGACACATACGCATGCGAAACGCTGGCACATTAGCCCCGCATCTCGTTGCAATTCACGGATAAAAATGGGAAAAAAATGCGCACATTTCCTTATTGTGTCTAATTATTTATCTCAAGTTTTATTCATCTATTCAAGCTAACAAGATACATAAACTACTTATGTCGTGTTAAATAATTTAAGCCATGTCACGTTGTATACTGTTGACAACATCAGAGCAGAGTTGTCTAGGTAGATGACCAACGTGACTGCATTGCCATGTACGTAAGGCCATTCAGACGCGCACGTCATGCACCCATTCTCTAGGCACGTGCCCACAAAAGGAAGGGGGAGCAGCATTCATATTGAAACTTCACTCATTTCCCCGGTGCGTAGCGTCGCAAATTTTGGTAGACGTGATCATGAACGCCTCATCTATGCGTTGCACTTGTCAGCTCAAAATTGTCAAACTTTGCGAGTTGTCCTTTAAGCACTGTTTCATTAGTCTTTCACAAACCAATTTACGCGCAAGTGAGAATGCCTCATGTGTGAAATCTGCATCCGGGAGCGTGTATATATGAAGCAATGCCATCTACAGACAAAAGAGAGAAAGATGACACAGCAACAAAGTGTCGCAAAGGAAACACGAGTAGGCTAAGAATAATGCATACAGGTGAAGAAAATATACCATGAAATCCTAGGCAAGTGCCCCCCCCCCCCCTCTCTCTCTCTTGCGGCATTTCAAATATGCACCCCCTTCTCCCCTTCCACCACTTGCACTGTTTCATTCACTGTTCTCATTAACCCTGTGAATAAAAACAGTCAATGCATTCATATTTATTAATGCATTGTATTAGAAGTAAAGGTGCGCATTATTTTAAACAGTGCTTCTGCTGCCACGTTGAATTTTGATCCTTGACCGAGCAAGGGCCAGCTCTTCGAATCTCGCCTGGTTATCCTTCACCAAAGAAGTTTGCTCAAAATTTTACGGTACACATACTAATTAAGTAGCACAGCATCTGGTCACACATGCATACTCAATTACATCTCACTAGAGGACTCCAAACATTTGCTTTGACAATGCTGGAGACAAGGTGAAGCAGATTAGCCCATTGTCAGTCTCACTACCCCAGCAAAAAATAGTGCCATTTCACTCCATAAACTTCGGTGACATGTAAGTGAACAGATACCATCGCAACAACCAGAGAAGGGCAACAGAGCACTTACGCCTACTGAGACCTTTCCTAACCTTTCTCTCCTGCGATACCAGGTCTGACCAAACTTGCATCTGCAGTGTGGCGACGCATTACACCGACAGATGCTCACTGCTCAATGTTTGACCATCTGTGACACCTTTTAAGCACTGTTTCTCCAAACTATATGTGTGTTCCCACAGTGGGGCAAGAGTTTTCTGGGGCTGATGTAACAACGTCAACATTTGCAGCACCTACCAAGACTTGTTTCAGACTGGGGTGCTATGCAGGATCGATCGAGCTTCGCGAATCTCTGAAATGTTCCGAGCTCTGGCGACACCCCCTTTTGAATGAGCCAACAGTACGAAAAACTCAAATCCACCCCTCAGTGCGCTGCATTTGATTGCTTGCGATGAAACCAGTCATCGCATCAATGACAGTCAACCAAGTTGGGCGGTGTTTTCAAACCAGAGGCATCTTCTTTCATTTGTTTGTCGTTCCACTGAGTGCAGATGTATACCCATGCAATAAACGAGTCCGAAACTTTTCATGATGCAATGTCTTAGAGACACAGGGTCTTTATATTTATTTTGAAGCTTTTAATGCCTGCACTAAGTCTGTTTTAGAATAATTATCGTCCCCTAGCACCCGAGCACGTGCAGACAACTAATTAGCTATTTAGCTGGACGGTATACTTGGCTAGTTAAGCCAGGACATGCAATAACCAAGATAATTACACCAAGTCCCGGTAAGGCCAAGGTAAGGGCGTAGCCAGGGGATGGCATACTGAGCCCGTATCTCTCCCAGCCCCCCCCCCCCCCCCCCACCCTCTTCAAACATTTTTTTTTTGCCATGGCATAGAGTGAAAAATGACCGTTTCAAGGAGGTGCCTCTCCCGGAATCAAGGAGGTGTGCCACCCAAAATGAATTTCTGGCTACGCGCCTGGGCCGAGGTAATTACGCCACATCTTAAGAAGACCATGCTTATGAAGCGATGTAAAGCTAGAACCGGGCTAAGTAAAGCATGCTAGTTGATGAGCTAACTAAGCCTTGCTAATCAACATGACATTATTCATAGCATCCTAAGCGAAGCCATGCTAATTACACCCTTACAATACGATGACAATTAGTATCCTGCTAATCAGGATTACATTTAATAGCTCTATAGTGATCACGGCCTTGTTAATTGCACTCAATTGCCTTTTAGTTTAAACCTTATCAATGAAGAGAAAACAGCTCACTGTAATGATTGTTAAGCCACAGTCGATTAGTACAACAAATTAAGACAGAGCTGATGCGATCTGCACTACGAAGTCGACCAAGCACATGAGTAAACGACCAACTTAAGAAGCTGCAAGATGCTATGTTATACCAAGCTCCAGCTCCAGCCTTGCACAAGTAGTGCAAACCCACGAAATTATTTATATGAAAAAAAGCTGCCGCTTAGCGTTCACTGCATCAAATGCTTGACAGTCACATCGGCACAGTGACAGTTGTGAGTAGAACTGGGGCCTTTTCAGAATTAATTAGCTTATATCCGACTTCAGGCATGATTCACTTTGATTGACAGGCGCCCGTGCTAAAGATGTGCATGCCCATCACGTTTGCTCTTGCTGAGAAGCAGTACTCACATCGAGCGGTACGATCAATTGATTGATTGATTAATATGTGGGGTTTAACGTCCCAAAACCACTATATGATTATGAGAGACGCCGTGGTGGAGGACTCCGGAAATTTAGACCACCTGGGGTTCTTTAACGTGCACCCAAATCTGAGCACACGGGCCTACAACATTTCCGCCTCCATCGGAAATGCAGCCGCCGCAGCCGGGATTCGAACCCGCGCCCTGCGGGTCAGCAGCCGAGTACCTTAGCCACTAGACTACCGCGGCGAGGCGCGGTACGATCAATCTATCAGCTTTATCACGCAGACAATGCACACACGCGCACAGAATTAAAAGTGATATCACGCAGCTACAATGTGTCCTGTTCAATTTCACCGCGCTCATGACATATCCAATCAGCGCCGCGTTGCCGCCATGATGCGAGTGCTTTGGTTATCTGCAATATTTGATAAAAGTGAAACAAGCAGCATGAGAGTGCTGCGTGTGCACCATTGCCGCTTTCGAGT